AGCCTTCCCTCTTGCTGGTTTCCCTCAACAGCACCCCCTACAGGCCAGGAGAGGCAAGCGCATCTCAAACAGTAAGGGGTAGGAGGGGAGGCACCTTGATAATATGTAATGATGGCTGGCGCCCCCCCGCTGGCTGGCGAGCTTTTCCTCTCCCACACTCCCACTCGCCCCAAGCTCCCCTACATCTCGGACAGAGCAGATCAAACACGACACGGACAAACGTACGAGAGCTCGACTGCTACATGCCATTGTTTCTACACTTCCTCCATCTTCCTCCCCCCGGCCCCAGAATGCAGGCTGTTTCACTTCCTGTCGTCCACACCCCTCTCCTCTTCACTCCAGGTGCTGCCGCTGCCTCCATTTCCCTCTCTCCGTCTCCCGTGCTCCCCCACCCCCCTCCTCCCCTGGCGCATTCTTTCACACGGGCGACAGGGCCGCCCCGCTGCAGACTTTGAACCCGCAGTAAATGGCCGCCTTATTTTCTTCTTTTTGATTCGCCGCGCTATGTGAGCCCATCGCACATCCCTGGGAAGGCAGTCGCTTGCAGCCTGCCGGCGGGATGATTTTCCCAAATCTGGGACAGTGCCCCCTGTCACAGAGAACATTCAGTACCAACCTGGGAATGGGGCGAGAGCCAAACCGGGGACCATGTGTGTCCTCAAACGGGCTGAAAGTGTCGGCGTCATGTCACACAGACCATTCTAAGGGCACGAAACAGGCCTCTGCATCACAACTCATCTGCATTAATTGTTCAGATAGTAACAGTCGAGGTTCTGGTTGTCGATGCAGAGAGAGAGGTCCTCTGACTGCAGGGCGGGGCTCCTCCAAGCTAACCCAGCCCAGAACCATTCAGCGGGCCGCCTAGAACTGGGGGGGAGGCAGTCAGGAGTTGTGTGGAAATCTTATTTTCTGCCTCCTAGACTGATTTCTGTGCTTTGCATCCATTTGGTTACAGCTGAACATCCCCATAATTAGTCAAAAAGTGCTGCCCCCACCCCCCCCAGAAATGACACTCTGTATGTGGTAAATAGGCATTTCCTATTTACCAGTGAATCAGCACGTGCACACAGTCATACGGACCCAGATTTGCTAAGCTTAACACACATTGGTAAATGTAACATGACTAATGACGATATCCATCCATGCGTCTCGCAGCCCCTGATCCTGCACAGAGTCACGGATATTAATAAAAACCATGAATATATAATAAACTAATCTTGTAACAGGGCTCAGCCCTTAATCACACTGACTGTTGCTGTTTTTAAGTATCCAAGCATTCTGGCCTATGAGGGTGACTCAGGTTTGATGCAAGTCAGCCTAGGCCCAGCCAATAGCTCCCCACACAGGACAGCCGTCCCTCCCCAGCCAGCGTACCTAGCACGGTGAGCTCCCAAACATGGGCACCCCATGGCCCGAACACCCCCGGCAGGGAATGGAATATAATCTTATCTAAAATAGGCCGGTTAAAAATAGCTGGCGTGGCCGAACGGGAAGCCCATCTGCACCCAGGGAATGAGCGACTGCGCATCGGCGCTGGAGAAGGCCCATCAAGGTAACAGGGACCCCCTCTGCTTCCTGAGGACAGAGACAACGGAGGAGGATGTAGAAGATCAGTAAACTCTCCCACCCCCAAGACCGTCTTGGTTTTGAAAGAGGAACTTGACAAGCTGGGCGTGGGGGGGGAGATAGGGTGCAACACGCGATGGTTAAATAAATGCTAACGGCCTAAAATGACATGCGGTCGTGGTACACAGCCACTACTGCTCCTGTGCTGTAATTCTCACCCCCTGCGCCCCAGCCACCCTTGCCGTGCTCCTGCTCGGCGCAGAGAAAATCACACCTCAGCGTCATCTTGGACCAGTCGGCCTCAAAGCACCCATTGGTCTCCTGGCTTTTCGTGGCTGATTCACACTGAACAAACAGAGCCCCACCCATTACCTACTTCTTTTGTGTGGGTGTTTTTTTTCTTCCACGAGGAAAACTCTTAGGAGGGTGTAGGTGGGGGGGGTGTTTTTGAGATGAACATATCAGAGACCAGAGATAGAAAACTATTCTGGAAGCCTCTGTGCTGTCATCAGAGAGAATCTGACTTTGTTCTTCCTTGGGATGAGAGCAAGGCAAGTTACAGCTCAGATGAAAAGCGGTAATTATGCAGAGAGCGGATAAAACCTAACCCTCCCGTCACCCTTCCCACCCCGCCAAGTGGTCGGTTACTTCCCTAAAAACTCGCATGGGCTTCGCGCAACCCTCCTCGCAAATTAAACCTATCGCTAAACAGGAACTGTGAGGCGCCGCGTCCTCGCGAACGATCAAATCACAAAGAGAAGAAAAAAAAATCTCGGTTAAAACCTCCAGAACCACACGTTTCGCATCTCTCTGGGCGATGGGGCAGCCCGCCTCTCAGCGTTGGGGCGCCGGGGCTCTGGATGCTGGGAGGCAGAGCTTTGGGGCCCGGCAGGAGCGCCAAGGACATCTGCGAAGGACACATTCTCCCCTTGTTTAGTTAGCGGCCTTCGCTTGATTAAGAACAAATGCTTCAAAAACCAGCATCCAGCTGAGGCTTCCGTGTTTATCAAAATAGCTTCATTTAACTTTGATATCTTGAGCTACAGAACTGGTGTGCAAAGCGAGGGGAACGTTCACAACTCCAGCGTGGGGCAGCTGCAAGATGCTACACCATTGCCCAACCACGCAGAATTCCATCATTCCAATGACTACCGACGCTAACGTCGAGCACACGTATGCACTCGCATACTGGCAAACTGTTAGCTTAGTGTAATATTTAAGATTAGCTAAGGACAAGGGGTTTCTACAAACTTTCCATGAAAATACTGATGGTTAGAAAACTTCACAGATAGTGGCTGATCTGCCCATTAAATACACGCATGATGTAATCCAGCAAACGAGTTTGCTAAACCAGCGTCCTTCAGCAATTCAGCAGAGCTCCTGGCCATGTTACTCCCCTGTGGACAGCCACCACCCCCCCCACCCCCCAGGATCCTTTAAATACCCAACTGGGTTTAAAATAGGAGCTTCTCAGGACGGCAGCTATTCCCATCGCAGCCCACTCAAACACCGAAAGGCTGCCCGGATGGGACTCTGTCACAAGCAAATATATTCTCACAACTTTATAGAGCGACGGATGGCTCGGCTGCGTCACCTGTGTCAAATGAGTCACACTTCCAGATACTTCTACCGGCATCTAACAGGACATCAAGCCCAAAAGCCGCTTCGCCGTACAGTGTTCTGAGCTCGGGAGAGTTTTACAATAAAACCCATGCTGAATCTGTGTTTTGCTGCAACAATAGTAGAAACGTCCGTAATTTTATTTATATAATTTATTTAACGGGACGTTAGACGCCGGTAAATTGTTGCATTTTATTCCTGTTTACAAGATACAAACTCGATAAAAGTCGTCTTATTTCTCCCCAATGTCTGATAAAAACAGCAACATCATGCACGCGATTATAAAAGAGAAGACCATCAATTCACACAGAGGACGCAGTTCACTAACAGCAAGTCGACACATTAACATATTTATAACTGAGTCAGTCATACTGGTTTGGCCGCACACACCTTAAGTGCAAAGGAGGAACCAGAGAAAAATGGGGCCATTCCTTTTCTCTAACGATGCCTCCATGCATTATGAACAACATGCACGTAAAAGGACTCTGACAGCCCTTGCTGGGAGGAGATGCCCGGATGAATAGTTAAGGTGTAAGGTGGGGGGCTCAGGGTGGGCTCCCGGGGGCATTAAGATGCGGCTCGGCCGGGTAGGGTTTCGTGATGGAATGCGAACCGCTCTGCCGGATCTTCTATCCGCCCCAAACTAAAGCCGTCATCGGGATGGAGGGGAAAGCCCCCATACACACACATAATAATAATACTAATAATAATAATAATAATAATAATGAGAAACGGGGCTTCGTCAGAAATTACCAACAGCCCTGCCTGCCGGCAGCTTTTTGCTACCGCGATCATTTTAGCGATTAATCGGTCAGGAGCGCCGCTCCGGCGGCAGCAGCCAGGACTTCCTGGACCCAGAACCGAGACCTACTCGGTAGGTTAAAGTCCGTGCGATCAAACAATACCAGCACAGAGAAACCATCCAGAACGAGTTTACAAACATCCCTGGACTGTCGCCGAAAATAAACGCGGCGACTAAAGGCAACTCATTACCCTCCGCTACTCCATACGGGGGAAAAAGGACGCAAACTGTTGTTAAAAATATAAAATAAAGCATGGACATGTACGTACATCCTCGCAGATGACCGCAGCACGAATATCTCGGATGCACACGACGTTTCTCAAAACTTTCCTACAAGTCGGCTTTAAAGCCATAACTTCCTCTTTTCGGACGATGCTCGTTTCCCGATTATCCTCCAAAAAGCGATCCGACGAGCAGTCATATGACGGCGGATACTTACGGAATAGAACCTGATCAGGATAGAAACATCGTCCTGATGTTTTACTAAATAAAGCAAAAAAAAAAAAAAAACAAACAGACACGCACGTCTCCACAAGGTCACAGCGTTAAAAGGCGCATGGCCTCCCCCGATCGTGCGCTGCGGCCAAAGTACATTAAAGATGTGGATGCTCGGCGCAACCGGACTAATATACTTTGTACCTTGTGCCACAAGTTCGCATCTCTCGTCTACAAACAGGGAAAAGTGTTTAAAGCTCCCCGATCTCTGCCTTTTTTCGGTGAGCACCATTTGCCATGCACAGGTAGTTAAAAATACATGTGCATGGGGAAGACACCCAGTCAAATTCCGCAGCTCGGACGTTTTTAATCATGGATGAGCATCAGGTCCATGGGCGAAACTAGGAAGCGAAAAGCTAAACATCATCGGCACGTCTTAAAACTAAACTTTACACAACTTTCGTGCTGCGAAACAGGCATCCGACATCGCGTGCTACTTAAAACTAACCAGAAAAAAAGTCAAGTAGAGAAAATGAGAGCTTTAAAAGGAGCGTTTAGAGAAATAGCGAGTACTTACGTCTGACTTTGTTGGGGTTGGGCTGCTTGCGCCTAGACATAGTGATGATGGTGAGCAGTGATGGACTGAGAAGGGGGGGGGGAGGAGGGAAAAAAACTGCAAACTTGTTCCGGAGAGGAATCAAAATGGCGTTTCTGAGGATGTGCAAAGTTCGCCAACTCTCAATTTTCCTCTTTTTTCTGTGCTCTTCCTCAACGAGGAAGATGGGAGGAAGGAGTCGAGAGATGGGGGAGGGAGGGGGGGCTTGCAAGTCTCACTTATTTCGGCCCCAAGTCTCACGCTGTCTCTCTCCCCGGGTCTCTAAAGCAGATAAGGAGACGCATCACGTGTTGCTGCTAGTCTCCAAGGGGACGTGTTACTGAAGCTGCTGCCGCTAGACTGCAGCCTGCTAGCATCTCTACAGGAGGGGTCTCTATCGAGCAGAAAAGCAGAGAACGGAGGAAGGGGACAAAAGTTTACCGACTGCCCCAAATCATCCCACCCAGTGTTGCAATGCAAAAGCAATAGCCTCCATCTGTTTTTTTTTCCCTTGGGGTACTTAACCTCGGTGCCTGATGCCGATTCCCATCTATCTAATGTAGAGCATTGCGCAGTAGATATAAACATGGATGTTTATTTGAAAATGTTTTGGAAACATGTAAAAATTAACATCGCGGTGTTCGAGATACAGGGCGTCTCGTTTTTCAGTAAGTCTAAGTGGTTTCGACTGCGTATGAGCGTCGGATTAGAAGTGGATTGCGGAGGTGATTTAATCGAGTTTAAAGTCCACATGGTCCTGGCTGCGAGCAGGATGCGCAGACCTTACACGTGGACGGATAGATCTGCTAACCGTGTCGACTAGATTACATGGACGCAGCCGTGGAAGTCAGCTAGTTCACCTGTCACAGCCAAAGCACACGTATTCATTCAGACACATCAAAATGGGAAATTTAATGTTTAAACATACGCGTTTGAAAAACCTTCAGAACCACGAAAAACGCACTAACATACATTAATATTTAAGCATACGTTCGATGCAAGGTGCATTCAATGTCCTACCAGCTTTAATGCTTCTAAATACCGATACATTACATATATTTTTTTGTAAAACTATCGACAATACATTAATATTTAGTATCCAACGTATTTAGCATAGTGGATGAAGAAATTTCATTGACATTATCATCACCACATTAAACATTTGACGTATGAAACATACATATTATTTAGATTTTACAATGTTAATGGGTATATTTAAATTTATATTACTCACATAATATTATGCATCTCGTCATCTAGAGTACAGGCGTAACCAATTCGGGCACTTTTAATATAATAAAAGTAATTGCAAGAATTTTGCGTTGAAATATGGCGCGCGCGCACACACACACACACACACACGTTATATATATGCGTTATATATATAAATTTTGATATCGAAAAGTTTATTGAGCATGACAGTTACAAAACATTCACGAAAACGACCTGTTCCCCCCGAAACGTTTGATTATGTATCATTAAACGGTCTCGAAGAACCCAGTACGTAACACATAGTTAGGAGAGTTACTGCTGCCACTGAGCGCGTGCTCGGGCTGGTCCCCTTTCTAATCCTTTCACTACGCCGTACAGGCTACAACCGCAGAGTAAATAACGACATTAGGCGCAAAATGCGGCTGCTCCGTGTGCAGAAGTACACGCGGACATGACGAAGTTATACTTCAAGCGTAACGTATTTGAAAAATTGGTATGTAAATAATGTAAAACAATTGCACAGTTTAGTCACAGACGACCACGCATCATATATGGAGTTATACATAAACCTCGGTTGTAGAACATTAAGTAAACAGGTTATAAGTGTAAGAACAGATTTGCAAAAAA